AGTTCTGTTCTAGTTCTGTTCTAGTTTCTGTTCTGTTCTAGTTCTTCTAGTTCTGTTCTAGTTCTGTTCTAGTTCTGTTCTAGTTCTGTTTCTAGTTCTGTTCTAGTTCTGTTCTAGTTCTGTTCTAGTTCTGTTCTAGTTCTGTTCTAGTTCTGTTCTAGTTCTGTTTCTAGTTCTGTTCTAGTTCTGTTAGTTCTGTTTAGTTCTGTTCTAGTTCTGTTCTAGTTCTGTTCTAGTTCTGTTCTAGTTCTCTGTTCAGGTTCTAGTTGTTCTAGTTCTGTTCTAGTCGTTCTGATTCCTAGTTCTAGTTCTGTTCTACTAGTTCTGTTCTATTATGTTCTAGTTTTATTCTAGTTCTGATTCCTAAGTTCTATTCTAGTTCTGTTCTAGGTTATGCTAGTTCTAGTTCTAGTTCTTTAGTTCGTCTAGTTCTAGTCGATTTGTTCTAGTTCTATTCTAGTTCTATTCTAGGTCTGTTCTAGTTCTGTTCTAGTACTGTTCTTGTACTGTTCTAGTTCTGTTCTAGTTCCTGTTCTAGTTCTGTTCTTGTTATATTCAAGTTCGCTTCTAGTTCTAATAATTCATTTCATGGTGGCTGTTTAATTAAAATTATAGCATAATTGTAATACGTTATTAATATTGTTTGTTTCACAAATATAGAATTTAGTTAAATTTTGACCCACATTTTGACAAATGCAAATACTTTAGACCAATAACATTTCTATCCAAAAAAAACAAACCCTGTTATATATAAACACAAACATATTGGCATAAAGGATATTGAAAAAAAATGTGCTACAAATAAAACCCACAGATAAATAATAAAGACCCAAAAAAAGAAAAATATTTGCAACTAAATTTTAAACATAAATATACTATATAATGTTGCCAGTCAGTCACATACGCTAAATTTGTTGGCCAACGAAATTGTGTTATGTTGCTAATGAGATAATGCCAAAAACAAAAATAAATATAGAATTTTATAAAACAGTAAACCAAACATGTAATTCAGACTAAAATTATGAGTTAAAAGTTAAAAAAATACTATTAAGCCAGAGCAAAAAAAAAAAAAAACTGACACATATTGTAACAAAATTTTTTAATTAAAAATTTTATTATAATGAAGAGAAATAGAAAAAATCTAGTATAAATTGTTAAAAAAAATATCTTAAATTGTTTAAAATGTATGTTTGCTGTTTCAAATTGTGTGTAAAATCTATAACCAAACTGGTTAAAGTTAAATCGATTCAATATAATTGAAAATTATTCAATTCAATTGTAATAATTTCAAAAATTTCTCTGTTATGACAGTTTTGGTGCGTTTAACAACACAAATAATGAACAATTCTAAAGAATAGACCAACAAGAACAACAATAAGTTCTGGACATACAACAATGTTGAAATTGTCAGACAGAAACAGAAAACTAGTTGCAGTAGTTTGTAAAGAATCCAGCGAGCCATAACAACCGATAGGTTGGGAAAAAGTGCAGTTGGCCAAGGGGAGAAGGATTGAATCGCCTCTGTTGCATAAACAAGTAAACAATACACTAGAGTCAACAGCAACAAAAACACTTTCACCACATGCAACAATAGGAAAACAGCAACGTATACAAACCAAGTGCAGTTGACTTGAATGTATGTGTGGATATGTGTGTTAAGATATAAACTGTAAAAGGCTTTAAAGTAGAGTAACGTTTGCAAAGATAGGTCAAACACTCATGTGTGAGTAGTAGTTTTATGTATAAAAGAATATACAAAACAATTGCAATTTTTCCTTAAAGGACATCATAGAAACAGTTTGCGTATGTAAACTTCAAGAACTTTGTCTTTTTCCGCAATTTTTCCTTTAATATTTTTTAATATGTCATCAACATGCAACAGCAGCAATGACAACAAATTTACCATAAATATTACAAAACAGTTCAACACCACAAAAACAATACTTTAACTTACTGTAAAAAAAATATAAAAAACAGAAGTATACAACTAAAAGAGACAACTGTCTTTAGCAGACATATCACACTCAACTGTGCCAGACAAAACAATAACACACACAAACAAACATTTTCAGCCAGCCTGGCTACAAAAGGTTTTAAATTTTTACTACTTTTTGTTTCTGATAAACAAATTTAAAATGTCAAACACTAGAAAATGTTGTATACACTGACAGCAGGGGTGAGAACTACTGCTGGGCTTAAACGCACAAAACAGGGGACGAATGTGCTAAATAATTGGAAACAAAGGAATTGGGGACATATTTACAAAAAATGGGAAAATTACGCAAAGATTTACAAAGTTATTTAAATTATATTAAATTTGAGGTGAAACAAATTTAATTTATCCTCAATAGATTTAAATTAGAACTGAAACAAGAGAGCGGAACCATAACTGAACTAGAAATGAACAAGACGGAACTGTAACCAGAACGAATAGAAACTGTAGCTATAAATTGATCTAGAAACTGAACTAGAAACTGAACCTAGAACTGAACTAGATACTGAACTAGAACTGAACTAGAACTGAACTAGAAACGAACTAGAACGTAACTAGAACTGAACTAGAACTGAACTAGAACGAACTATAACTGAACGGAACTTAACTAGACTGAACTGAACTGAACTAGACTGAACTAGAACTGAACTAGAACTGGAACTAGAACTGAACAGAACTGAACTAGAACTAACTAGAAATGAACTAGAACTGAACTAGGAACTGAACTAGAACTGAACTAAACTGACTAGAACTGAACTAGAATGAACTAGAACTGAACTAGAACTGAACTAGAACTGAACTAGAACTGAAAACTGAACTGAACTAGAACTGAACTAGAACTGAACTAGAACTGAACTAGAACTGAACTAGAACTGAACTAGAACTGAACTAGAACTGAACTAGACTGAACTAGAACTGAACTAGAACTGAACTAGAACTGAACTAGAACTGAACTAGAACTGAACTAGAACTGAACTAGAACTGAACTAGAACTGAACTACTAGAACTGAACTAGAACTGAACTAGAACTGAACTAGAATGAACTAAAACTGAACTAGAACTGAACTAGAACTGAACTAGACTGAACTAGAACTGAACTAGAACTGAACTAGAACTGAACTAGAACTGAACTAGAACTGAACTAGAACTGAACTAGAACTGAACTAGAACTGAACTAGAACTGAACTAGAACTGAACTAGAACTGAACTAGAACTGAACTAGAACTGAACTAAACTGAACTAGAACTGAACTAGAACTGAACTAGAACTGAACTAGAACTGAACTAGAACTGAACTAGAACTGAACTAGAACTGAACTAGAACTGAACTAGAACTGAACTAGAACTGAACTAGAACTGAACTAGAACTGAACTAGAACTGAACTAGAACTGAACTAGAACTGAACTAGAACTGAACTAGAACTGAACTAGAACTGAACTAGAACTGAACTAGAACTGAACTAGAACTGAACTAGAACTGAACTAGAACTGAACTAGAACTGAACTGAGAACTGAACTAGAACTGAACTAGAACTGAACTAGAACTGAACTAGAACTGACTAGAACTGAACTAGAACTGAACTAGAACTGAACTAAAACTGAACTAGAACTGAACTAGAACTGAACTAGAACTGAACTAGGACTGAACTAGAACTGAACTAAAACTGAACTAGAACTGAACTAGAACTGAACTAGAACTGAACTAGAACTGAACTAGAACTGAACTAGAATTGAACTAGAACTGAACTAGAACTGAACTAGAACTGAACTAGAACTGAACTAGAACTGAACTAGAACTGAACTAGAACTGAACTAGAACTGAACTAGAACTGAACTAGAACTGAACCTAGAACTGAACTAGAACTGAACTAGAACTGAACTAGAACTGAACTAGAACTGAACTAGAACTGAACTAGAACTGAACTAGAACTAGAACTGAACTAGAACTGAACTAGAACTGAACTAGAACTGAACTAGAACTGAACTAGAACTGAACTAGAACTGAACTAGAACTGAACTAGAACTGAACTAGAACTGAACTAGAACTGAACTAGAACTGAACTAGAACTGAACTAGAACTGAACTAGAACTGAACTAGAACTGACTAGAACTGAACTAGAACTGAACTAGAACTGAACTAGAACTAGAACTGAACTAGAACTGAACTAGAACTAAATTAGAACTGAACTAGAACTGAACTAGAACTGAAACTGAACTGAACTAGAACTGAACTAGAACTGAACTAGAACTGAACTAGAACTGAACTAGAACTGAACTAGAACTGAACTAGAACTGAACTAGAACTGAACTAGAACTGAACTAGAACTGAACTAGAACTGAACTAGAACTGACTAGAACTGAACTAGAACTGAACTAGAACTGAACTAGAACTGAACTAGAACTGAACTAGAACTGAACTAGAACTGAACTAGAACTGAACTAGAACTGAACTAGAACTGAACTAGAACTGAACTAGAACTGAACTAGAACTGAACTAGAACTGAACTGGAACTGAACTGGAACTGAACTAGAACTGAACTAGAACTGAACTAGAACTGAACTAGAACTGAACTAGAACTGAACTAGAACTGAACTAGAACTGAACTAGAACTGAACTAGAACTGAACTAGAACTGAACTAGAACTGAACTAGAACTGAACTAGAACTGAACTAGTACTGAACTAGAACTGAACTAGAACTGAACTAGAACTGAACTAGAACTGAACTAGAACTGAACTAGAACTGAACTAGAACTGAACTAGAACTGAACTAGAACTGAACTAGAACTGAACTAGGACTGAACTAGAACTGAACTAGAACTGAACTAGAACTGAACTAGAACTGAACTAGAACTGAACTAGAACTGAACTAGAACTGAACTAGAACTGAACTAGAATTGAACTAGAACTGAACTAGAACTAAACTATACATAAGTTTGATAAAATTTGCTTTTACTTTCGTTACAATAAAAATTCATGTAAATTTGGTTGTTTATATTTTCCACTCACCTGCCTCTCATTTCTTCTGTCGGCCAATCACCACTACCCCAGGGCATTTCCGTGGTACCCAATATCAAGCCGAATATAAAACCAAATAGACAAGAGATAAACATGCCCACTGCCAACGTTATAAAACCCACGCGCTGTAAAGGCGAAAAAAGATAATTTTTAAAACAAACAAAGAAAAACTTTCAGACAATTTAAACTTTAAAAGGCTTTAAGAAGATTTAAAATAAAATCAAAACTTTTTTTATAACAAAGTTGCTGGCATTAAAATATAATTCAGTTTGGTTAAATGTTTAAATATGTATTTAAAAGTTTAACAAACAGTCACATACTTAATATATTGGGTAAAACATTTTAACTTTTAAAAAAACATAATTTTTAAAATCTACTTAATTATTTAATAGCTTAAACATGTTCATTATAAACAACAGAGATGCTGGCTGTAGTATATTGTTAAAAAAATAAAATTCACTTTTCCTATAGAGAAGTTTTGTAATAAATAGCAAAATGTGTGTATTTTGCTCTTCAGCAAATGATAGACACTTGTTTGTCTGCTGACATACTTTATAGTTTATTCACTTACTGTAGATACAAGTGTATCAAATACACATACATACACATATTTAGTTTCCACCTGTTCTTATCATCAATTTTATTAAATTCTAGTGTTTCTACAGCAAGTCAAAGTCTTTACTTTCTATACAGATAGAAAACTACTGTTTATGCTCTATCTTTTTATTATTTCTCTACACCTACCTACATCTACCTTTCCCTTTTGTACATTTTCAAATTCCCTTTTCCTATGGCCACAATACTTGTGTGTATTTACAGTTTCTTTTTTGCAACTTAGTTACTTTTTATGTAGAAGAGTTTCAATTAAAATTTAATTGAAGCAACATCATTATGATTGAACAAAAAATAAAACCTGATTATTGTATTTAGCAGCATGTATAAAGAGAGAGGAAATGAAAACTAAATTTACAGAATATTATTACTGTGTAATAGGGATGCCAAACGGGAATTCCCGATTCCCGAAAATACCGGGATTTTCGGGATTTGAAAGTACCGAAAACCGGGATTTTAAAAAATGTAATCCCGGGAAATTTCGGGATTTTAAAATCCCGAATTTTTAAGTATTTTTCCGCTATTTTATACATTATAAAGTACTAAATAAGAGAATTTAAAAAGTTTTTGGACTTAAGATGACTCTACTAACTTACAAGCTGAAATATCAAAAAAAAGTAAGAGTGCTATATTCGGCTATGACGAATATGCTTTTCTATAAACATCAGGGTGATATTACTCATCAAATTTACTGATAGGACCTTATATGAGAGGTAGGGTGAATCATTGACCGTTTTTATAAAATTTTTCATAATTTTTTTAGACCAATTTTGGTTCATACACTTTCCGGTAGGAAGATTTACGTTCCTATAAAAGTTTCTTAGCTTTTGGCGAGTAAGAAACTTACTTATCTCAAATTTCATCTCTACACTCGTACTTGTAAGCCAGTAATGAGCGTTAAAGTATTTATCTGGATGGGACCTTATGTAGGGGTAGGGTCAATTATGGACCGAAACACATAAAACTTGGTAGAGAGATTTTGACTCGCATGAAACATATGTGTATCGAATTTCATCGCTATACTCGTATTTTTAAGCCAGTAATGAGCGTTAAAGTCATTTTTTTAACGGGGCCTTATATGGGGGTAGGGTCAATTATGAACCGACCCACATAAAATTTGGTAGAGAGGTTTTGGCTCGTCAGGGATTTACGAATATCAAATTTCATTGCTATACTAAATAGGCATAGATACTATCGGATATATAAAAATAACAAGTACGAAATTATAGGCGGGCGAGGCCGACCATATAACCGCATACACCAGTTATGAGAGTAAAATGTAATTTAGTTTTCATAATAAAAGTATACCTCGCCTCCGATATATTCTAGCACTTTATTGTTAAAAAACTATTTTTCTGAAATATGCTTGGGGGAAGGACGCCATCATATGAGTCGATCCTCATAAAATTTGGAGGGCGAATTTACGGTTACATAAAATGTTTTATGCTGAATTTCATTGCGACAGTTCTCTTTTTAAGCGAATTGTGGACACTAATTCTTTTTTAAAGCTGTGTTTTGTATGGGGGCTCGGATCAAAAGCCCGATCATTTCAAATTTCATCAGCGTATTTTAGGAGAGTATAAAACAAAAGCACTACTCCGGAGAAACCCAATATACCATCCCACAGTGGGGCAGAATGGAAATTTTTTGGAAATAAATCTGGCATTTCTAAACGGCTGATCCGATCGGGATAAAATTTGGCATGAGCGTAGCCAAGGAGTATTCGAGTTTAAGTTTTGAAGATGAACCCCCCAGATGCCCCAGGGACGGAGCTGTGGCGGCTCAAACTAGGGTACCTACGACATGTAAAATTTTTAAACTCGTGCCATTTTTTTGTTTTTCACCCAAATACAAAGATTTTTATATTTTGTGAAAGCGCTCGACGAGATCTTGAAAAAACATGCTTGGACATACTACTTATCTCTTATAATATCCGAGTTATAGGCATTTAAAAATTTAGTGATACAAAATTTACCATACCTTGGTCCGCCTTTTTTTGAATACCGGGCGTAATTTTGGACCAAATGGACTCAATTTTTTCTTGTTAGTTAGACAACAATTTCCAATAATATACAAAAAATTTCAGATCAATATCGTTTACAGATCCAAAAATATACGTTTTTTAATTTAAAAATTCAAAAATTTTTAGATTTTTGGCGTTTTTTTGCCAAAAATGTGTCTTAACTCTTTTATTAATAAAATAAAATTTTTATTAAGAACATATAACAATTTTATAGTTTTCTAAAAGGTATCTTTACGCAGAACGCTTTGGCGTAAAAAACTAGTCCTATTTTTTGAAAATGTTGCCACTGCGTCCTTCCGAATATGACCTATTTTTTATCAAAACTTCAACTTTGGGCGACATGTTCTAAAATCCCAAAGCTGGGATCAGAAAACTGAAAGCAGTTCTGGAAACCTCAATATGTTTTCTATTTACTCCAAAAGTATTTTCCCAGCCCTGAAAGAAATGTGGACCCTATGGGCAAAAAAATAAAAAATCCCATTTTTGGGATTTTCATTCCTATTTTTGGGAATTGCGGGATGCCCTTTGACCTTTTCAATTTTTTTTGTATATTCTTATTTGAAATGACAAATTTAACAAGCGTTGAAAATTTCATTGAGTTTTGTTCATAAATAAAGATTTTGTCATATATTACATATTTGTTTAATTTCTAAAACTATGATTTATATCAAAATTTTAATAGGATCGCAGATAGCTACAACAATTTAGTCCATATTTATCCCTTAATATAATTTTTTAGTTAGATATGGAAATTCTCGACCCTTTACAAAAAATTTCAAGCCAATATCTTTATTACATTCAAAAATATGTTCATTTAAACCTGTGTCCTTTAATTTCATCTTTTTCATATTTTAGTATTAAGTATGACAGAACATACATTTGGTGTTGAATAAAATATTTGGACAATTTTTAAAAATTATTTAGTTAATTATTTTATTATAATATTGTATATTAAATAAAAAAAATTATAATTTTATTATGAGCCACGCACAACAACACCTAAATCACCCCACACAAATTACCTTTCCCGCCCACCGAAATATAAAACACAATTTAATACAATATCATCAGTTAGTATAATAGCTTTTTTTATTTGAACTATTTATCTTAAACATAATACAATTAATTCTTACAACCTACTTATATAGTTAATTCCTAACACTACTTATTTTCTATAAAATAATCTGTCATATCGGTATACATATCCAGAAGGTAATATAAGTCCTTTAAATCTTCCTTGTTTTGAGATGATAGAGTTTCATAACAAATCCATCTTTTTCGCATAGTTGAAAGAACAGGATCAGAAGATAGAAGTAAACTATTAAAAATATCTTCATTCTGTGATTGCCTGGAGCATTTTCTTGAGCTGAATAGTTGAACATGCTTAAAATCTCGATTCCTCGCTTCCTGGGCTTCTTCTGTTAACTCTCCAAGTGGAAGAATATTCGATTCAATTATTATTTGACCATGACACAATACTTTGTGTACTGTGTTAGTTCCCTCCATGGATACAGAGATACAAGTAATTTAGAAATTTCAGATGTGTATTCCCCAAATTGATTTTCATTAATTTTATGTTTACTATTCAGTGCCATTAAAATAGTTTTAACTCTTCGAAGCAACTCCTTGTCGATTCCAGTTATTTTTGAAGTAATTTCAAAATCACGAAAAAACCTTCTCGACGTATTACCGTCATTTGTACTACCGCAACTTGAAAGTGGTTTGTCGATGTTTAATCCCATCTGAACTTTAAATTCTTCTTGGATTCTGCTTTTTTTCGCAGCTCTCAGTTCTTTCAATTCTTCATTATTTTTTGTTGATTTAGTAGGATAGTTTGTTTTTTTTTTTCCTGGATCGCCTTGTATGATGGTAATATATTGTGTCCTTTTTCATGCAGAGCTTTTCTTAATATTTGGTACTTATTTCGACTGAGACCCAGTTCCAACATAAGCGCTATTGCTTCCTCTTCAGTAAAATTTGATTATGATGTTGGAGTTGGTATACTTTCCACAATTCGCTTAAGTCGTTTTGGTGATGCATTAGGAAGAATAGTTGCAATATGTACGACATCCATATGTTGGTTTTCCTTTTTCAGCATTTCGTTAAATGTATCAGCAATTTCCTCATTTGAGATTGAAAAAAGTTTTTGTGTGACCCTCTTTTTTTTTTTACCTTGAACATAAGTCTTCGTATGACTTGCAAGGCGCTCCTATTGATGTGTTGTAAGTTGAGATTTCCGTAGTAGTTTCCATCCAACTACAAAATTTTAATCGAAATTTCTTTTGATTTCCATCCACAGACTTACTTTTTACATCAAAAAGTTTTAAAAAGTTTTCAATTTTTGATATGCCTGTTTTGTCTACTTTTCTACTATATGTAGTTTTTATATAATTTGAAATGTCTTCAATTCTTTCTAGCCCTTTTGAAGATATACTCCATAAAACGGAACACAACTCTTCGTACTTTAATGTAATCTTCATTGTAGATTTA